GGGGAAGAGAGAGAGACGAGAGAGAGAGAGAGACGAGAGAGAGAACGCACGCGGAGAGAGCGAGAGAGAGGAGAGAGAGAACGCGACGCGAGAGATGAGAGGCCAGAGAGCCATAACGATCTAAGGTTAAGGTTGATGGCGCTGAGGGCCTAGCAGCGTCGGAAGGCCTTAGTCACGGAGAGGATGTTGCACCCCCCCCCCGCACACACACACCACACATCACACAGCGCGCGCGCACGCACGCACACGATACGACGACACATACACACAGACTCCCCCCCCACACACACACACACACACACACACACACACCACACAGCACACACACACACACACACACACACACACACACACACACCACACAACGACTCACCACACAACACTCACCCACACACACACACACACACACACAACACACACACACCACACACACACACACACACACACACACATCACACGCACACACACACACGACCACCACACACACACACACCCCACACACACACACACACACACACACACACACACACCAAACACAACCACGGAACACGAACACCGCACACTACACACACACACCACACAACACACCACACACACCACAACACACACACACACACACACGCGCGCGCGTTGCGGCGGCCGCACGACGAACACGAACACGCCACACACACACACACACACACACACACACACACACACACACACACACTACACACACACACACACCTCCATCATCTCCACGCCTCCTAGCCTGCACCATAATCATCCGCGGCGCTTTCTTAGAGTCGTTTCCCCCGCCGCGGCTGTATCGCCTCCGGGCAGCACGCAGCAGTAAGCTTACTGCTGGCCGGCCTAATGCAAGCTGCCATTTTTCACGACGGAGACGGCGGTGCGACGGACGACTCCCCCCCCCTCCCCCCGTACACCGTCATATTTCACCTCCGACATTGATTTCGCTTTCAATACGTACCGATGACGTCACATCGTCCGTGATTTACCCGACGTGCATTGCGACCTCTGTGACGGGCCGAGATTGCCAAACTCCACGACCGATGGCGCTCTCGCTCTGGCTGTTTCCAGTATCCTGAGTTGCACGAAGGGAGCGCTGCATGCAGTTTGCGAGATTGTCTGTGCTGGCGCGGTGCACGCTGGGTGATAAAGCACGGTCGTGCGTGGAACACCTTACCGACAGGGATGTTGCTAATACTAATACTAATACTAATACTAGTGCTGCCACGTTGAGGTAGCACTCCACGCCCGGGGGATAGCATTACCCTACCGACAGCAACCGTTAAAATTTCTCTAATGCGCTGATGCACTGCGCATGCGCGCCTTTGCGGTCTGTGGAGCCAAGGATACGTCGTGTAGTCTAAGCAGTATTTTAGTCGTATTTGTGAGGTGTTTAAATTGTATTTAAATAACATTAGTAGTAGTTAAATAATATTTAGTAGTTTTAAAAGTGGAATTGAAATATTATTCAGAAGTTATTAAGGCATACTTTTAGTAACTAATGGTGAATATGTAGTGTTTAGGTAGTGTTTAGATTGCAGTAAATATCAATATATTGCTAAAGTTCTAGCTGTTAATGTGCAAAGCGTCTACTACGATCATAGTATATATTAATTACATACAGCATCCGTCATCTTCCCCTCATCCTCTTCCTCCTCCTGCTTCTCCTCCTCATCCTCATCCTACACCTTCTCCTCCTACTCACCATCCTCCCCTCCTCCTGCTCATCCTCCTACACCTCCTCCTCCTACTCACCATCCTCCCCTCCGTCGCCTCCTCCCCCTCCTCCTCCTCATCCTACACCACCGCCTCCCACACACCATCCTCCCCTCCGTCGCCTCCTCTTACACATACACACACAGGCTCTCTCGCGCTCTCTCAGCTTCCATGTTTACGGAGCGAAATTAGCCCCCGCACACCTGCTCACTCCACTTAGCATTGTCATCACGTGATCATGCAGTATCGACCCATAACGTGGCGACCGTGGGAACGCATCCACGAATGACGTACATACGGGTATATACGTGTATATGTACGTACACATACAGGTGGGTACGTGGGTGTACGAGACATAGATGTTGTTCCCATTATAATAAAGGGGGATACTGATAATATCAAAAGTTTATCAATAGACTATTACTGATAATATCAGGAGTGAACAATAATAAAAGATAATCATCTATTGTTATTAGATCTTGATAATATAGTACGCGTTACACACGTACGCCGCACAACAACGTGACTTCTTAATTATAATTAATAAAAATAATTAATAATAATTATGACGATCCGATTGGGAGAGAGTCGTGATGTGTTTGAAATGGTATATAATCAGGAGTCTATCAATATTTGATAGACTCCTGATATAATGACAGTGATCGATGATGAGGGCGGATGGTATAGTGTGGTGGGGGTGTTTATTTAATAATGAGACCGCGAATGAGGGCATCATTAAAGCCACAGGTAGGCTAGTCAGAATTTCATTTTATTTCAATTGGAAAAATATGTGAGGGTGTATTTTCCATCGCTCACGCTGACTTGACTTGAAAGCGACGGGGGGCTGCCTTGATGCTTGCTATAAAATGGCGTTAGCGATGCTTTAATGTTGGCCATCAAATTCCAGCCGACTACTGATACGATGCAACGCAATCTAATAATATCCACACAGCGAAGGTTACATACGAGCGCTGATTGTGTAACCGCTACTTCACCACACACACACACACACACACACA